CGGGCCTGCAGCAGGAGGGTCCAAGGAGCACCTCCCTCCACAAGCACACAAGGGAGGTCTCTGAAAGCAATGAACAGTTAAGAAGATATACCCCCACAGCGAGGAACGCTGCGGCACACCCCAACAAAAGAAAAAAAAAGAGAACAGTTACGGGATAGAGGCACGCTTAGACTTATATTAGGAGCCCAATGTGTCTGCGTGCAAAAAAAGTTAATGAATACGTTGGTATTAATATAACAAGCTAATGGATAAGAAAATACTTTCTATGTGTGTGTGCCCGGCCTACGAGGCCACCAGAAGCACAGCAGCACATGCGCCCGCAAGAAGCACAAGGGGCGCAAAGTGCTGGGCGGTAGTACTGCCGTCATTTGTGCCTCCAAGTGGGACGTTGGTGCCCTTCACATCAGCCTCCGCTTTACTGCTGCCAGCAGCGTTCCTCTTATCTTCGACAGTCTCCGTTGGCAGAGGACTTGTACCGGCGTTCCCATCCAATTCGTTGGTGTCTGCAGCCGCACCACCTGGAGGCATGTCTCGAGAGGCGGCGCTGACTGTATCATTGTCAGACTGCTCCTTGCTGCTGCTAGCTTGCTCACTTTGGAGAGTGTCACTGGGGGGGCTGCCGCCGCCTCCGTTGCTGTCGTGGTGAGATGTAGAGAGTTGATGAGAAGCATCGCCTGATGTGGTATGACGTTGATCGGAGCCTGGCTCAGAACGCCCAGGACCTGGCTCGGGGGTCGGGTTGGCGCTCCGGTCCGCAGAGTTGACGTCGGATGGTTGGTGGGTGCTGGGTCCGTTCTCACTTTGATCTGTTACCGCAGTATTACTGGGTTCCAGTCCTCCCGAAGTTTGCTGTTGTTGTTGTGCCCCTGCCACATCTGGATTCACAGGAACGCTCGTCGAACCCTCCACTTTTCGTATATACTCCTCTCGGGCTTCATTCTGCGGACATCCGGGATCGTCGCGACCAGTTATGTCTCTCAGAGTTGCTTTAATCGCCTTTCCCGACGTATCGTTTTCGGCTTGAAACACGGTAAGGCATCCTTCCTTGTATTTCGTCTTCAAAGAATCATTTTTCCTCAACTCTTTCACCAGTCTAATATACCGCATGAAATTTAATATCTTTTTCGGCTTATTGTTCTCTGCGACGTTGCTGGTGTGTTGAGTTTGCGGCGCCGCACTCTTCACCTCCCTGCCGTCGACTGCCGCA